TCTTGGTGTAGACGTGGGAAAGACAGGTTCTGAGCAAGGAACACCTTATACGGTGTAGACCAGCGGGTGCATGGCGAGTCTGAAGAGAGACAGGGTGATATAATCCATCCGCAGACCAAAGCCACACCATCGTTTACGAAGACCAAAAAATCTGTATTCTATTGAAAAACACAGAGTGGCGACGTGCAGACTCACTCACTGTCCTTCTGCCCCTCAGCTGTTTCATCAGCCGACTCGCTTCCTCCTTATCTATTCATTGCTGTTTTCCAAACTTGATTTGGGCATCATGCATGTTTGGGGCTGGCGATTTTAAATATTTCCCATCGGCTGCACCCAAGATACCTATTTATCTTACGGCTGCAAGCAGAGCTGAAATGATCTGGTATCGCCACGAGGCAGACAGCTATTTCATGCCCTGTTAATTCCTAATGCGGTAACTACAATATCATTCCTACTTTTAAAAGAGGTGCTTTTCTTCTTCTTCTTAATATGTGGCCTAAGTGTCCAAATAAAGAACATCACTTCTAATGAGGCCAAGTCCAAAAACACAACCTTGCCCGCCACTGCTGCCACGTTCAAGACGGGCTTCAGGTGTTCCAGCAGTTAGTGGGAAAGTCGAAGCAGCTTTTCATTCTCTTGGGCAGCACCAACAGGTCAGCAAAACTAAACTCTCTCTTCACTGCTGAAAATTCCAATCAGAGGCGATGGCTGGCATTCCTGCCGGGCAGATGTTCCAGGCCAGCAGGTGCCCGTCCACCTGGGAACGGGCACAGCACGGAAGGATGCCTTTGCTCCTGCTGAGCTGACAGCCTCTGTGCAATGACCACCCATTGGTTCCAAAGGCAGGATGTCCACGACAAGGCACGCCTTTTGATCAGAGCAGGGAGAGCTTCATCCCCAGGGGGCTGAGGGTGGGGAGAAGGGAGAGCATCTGCTCTGCAAAGGGCTGGGAGAGATACACACATGTCACAGTTCTGGCCACCTACTGCTTTAAATCATGTTAGCTCTTTTTCAGCAGCCTCTGTCTCTGCCCTTCACTAGCTCCCATCCCTGCTCAGGTACTGTCTAGTCCCCATCAGTACCTAGTTCTCAGCGCCTTTGTCATTTCTGAAGACCAAGTCTGCCTTAGGCACCCCTCCTATGTGATCCACACGGGGCCGGGTAATGCTTCTCTCCCAGCCCCTATGACCGCACATGAGAGTTGCCGGCTTGATTTTTTGGTCCCTGCAAGATTGAGAGAGTGTTCTTTTTGGCATCAATGCATCCTCAGCACCTCTCGCAAGGCTGGTGGATAGAAAGCCCTGAGAGCGGGCTGATGAATGAAGGGCGCGTGGTGGACCTCACCTCAAAAACGGCAAGCCCTGCCTTGCGCCCAGGACAGGCGCTCACACTGCAGAACCAGGCAAATCTAGGCTCACTTCCCAGCTCCACACTGATTTGTGGAGGGACATGGGGAAAGAGAAACCCTCTCAAGGCTCCATCTCTTTATCTGTGAAATGGGCACAACAGTGTGTACCTGGCATGGATGTTCTGAGAAGGATTGGATGAGACAGTGTACACGGTGCATAGGAGATTCGAAAGCCTATGGCTGCTGCTATGGGAACCCAGCAGCGAAGGTGTCAGGAGGTAGACAGCCTGGATTCTGAGACACCTGGCACTTCCGGGAGAGCCAGCACGTGTGTGGACACAGCAGAAGACAGCCCTGCAAGTTCCTGGGGCCAGAGAAAAGCACCAGAAATTGAAAAGTACTCTGCCAGCTCGGCCCAAAGAACACCTTAGGCAGACTTCACCCGGCTCGTCCCCCCGCGGCTCGGCGATCCCGGAGATACGAGGCACGGGGAGCTTAAGGTCTGCCTGCCTGCTCTCCCACCCCCGGGGCTCCTCTCCCCCATCCAGGCCCCAGGGAAGCAGGCGTAAATCTACCCGGGGGGCAGGACCCACTCCAGGCCTGCTGAGATTTCATCTCATGAAATGTTGACACCACAACCACTTTCCTCTTCCTCTCTGCCAACCTTTCTCATCCCTGGAAACCTTATCGAGCTGGCTTCTCCTTGGCTTACAGACAAGACAACTAATCATGGACCTAACAGCTCATCAGCTTCAAAAGCGGCTGCCCCCTTCCTGTGCCTGGATGAGAAAATCAATGTGTCTTTGAGAAGCCGTGTGCACCAAGGGCCCCAGCCTCTGAGAACAAAAGAAGCCAGACCGCCGAGCAGTCCCACGAACGGGGCTGGAAGTCTTCCTGGCCTGAGGGAAGGCTTACAGCAAGTGATACGGTAAACGGCGGATCTTTATGTGCCCTTGAACTGAGGAAACCGGAGTGGGCGGCAGAAAATCACAGCCCCAAGACCCTGAGCAGGACGCCCTGCCTCACCCCGCGGCTGCTGGCATGTGCCCGGCATATTGGCACCGAGTCAGTGGGAACCACCCGACTGAATCTGCTGAAGGAGGAAGCAGGGTCCAAACTGGGAAGCCCCCTCCTCCTATGAGATGCAAAACCCCATGGATATCTACCTTGCAGTTTCCCAGAGGGGAAGGACAACCTGCCCACTGTCGCCAGCATGACCACTGGACTCCCCAGCCACTGGTCCCATGTCAGTGACACCCACGATCCTACCCAAGTCTAAGAGCTTAGCTTGCAGCCCATCTCAGCTAGGAAGCGTCTCTGGTCACTCCCACCCACTCTGAACTCCCAGCACATGTCTTAAAAGCTCAGGCTTCTGTACATCGCAGCACGGTTAATGACTTTCAGATGTGAACCTGGCTACCTCCTCAGTTTAACGGTGAGCCCGTGGGGCAGAGAACTTGGCTCCTATTTTCTCTGTAGACACCACAGGGCCCTGCACAGAGCAGGGCCACAGTCAACGTTTGCTGATTGGCTCTACGGGACAACTCCCTAAGCTCAGTGCGAGCGGCCACCACACCTCACACCCACCGGAGGCGGAGGGGGCTCACTCTCACAGAACCTGGAAGCACACCCCTTGTGTTGCCGACAAGGCTTCTCTGAGCCCGCCTCCCGTTCCTACTGCCCCAGTGCCACTCATGCCTGGAAAGTTACAGAAACCCCTCACCACCTAACGCACCCTCCTCCTTGGTGGTCTGAGGGTCCGGGCGGCCCCCGCACACGCGTCTACACAGGAGACTGCAAGAGAGCGAGCTGCAAATTACTATTAAATGTGGCCTAAAAATCACCATAAATCACTCTGACTCCATCCGGTGACATTTCTAATTTATAACACGAGGGGAAAGAATGAGCACTACGGCTTTTTCCCCTGGGCTTTGGCTGCCGCCGAGGGAGGATTCCACCCCGCTGTCACTTACAACCAGAAGTTCCTGATTTACACAGCACTGACATGAAATGTACCAGAGGCTCGCCGGCACAGGGGCCAAGGGCCGTGGTCTGGGTGCGGCTCCCCACAGACCCTGGCAGTCCTGGTGTGAGTGTCCCCTCCCCTCTCCTCACTTTCGAACCATTCCTCCATTGAGGGAAGTAAGAACAAACCACACCTCCCTCAGGTCCCTGTAACGATGGATAATCTGTTTGCACAATCACTAGTCACCATCTAAGAGTTGGGTCCAGAGCAGCACTTGCGGGGAATCTGCATTTAATGTTTTGTGTGGTTGCTCACACTGCGCTGTGCAAACACCGAGCACAGGTGAATGCAGGGAACTGGGATTTTCTCCGATCTGGGCTTTTCTGTGTTCATCATCATAAAGCATTGTTATTAGGTGTTTAAAAAAAATGCAAAAGCATAAAACACAAGTTAGCTCTCTCCGGAGGGTAATATAGTAAAAGCCATTGGATGCTATTTTTAACAGCCATAAAAGCACGTGATTAATACAGAAAAAGTCATGATGACAAAGTGTGTCACAAAGCACGTCAGCGTGGAGGGTGAGCCGTTGAATTCGAGTGGGTCCTGGTGATCAATCCTGGCATGTTTGCTAGAGGACCCCGCACACCAGTGAACTCCAGGAGCCCCCTCTCTGACCAGTCTGAAATACCAGGTGGTCACAGCCAGCTTCTCCGCTCCTGGCCCATGACAGCGGCTGCCAGCAACCAGGGGAAGATCCCTTTCAAGGATCAGCCGGAAAAGCAGACGAGTGGGTGCTCACTGACCCAGAGTCCTCTCTCTACCACTGTGACACCCGGCTCGGGCCTCAAGCAAGGGGAAGAGGAGAGGGGTGGGAGGGTGTGGGGATGTCTCCATGGCTGCCCAAGGCTGAGAGCACGTGGTGTCACAGCAATAGCCAGGAAACCAGACTGCAGCCCGTCATCCCCCAGGACCCAAACTGACGTTGGCACCACCTCTAGAGATGCTTTGCGCAGCGCCCACCTCCACCCCAGCCCCACAACCCGCCTGGTTATCCTGAGGCTGCAGCATCCAGAGGGGAACGGAAGGGTTTGTCAGGAGAGGGTTCTG